GTCCACTAACGTCGTTCCACCGGATTGCTTGACGTCATTAGCCGTTTTTCGCCGTTCGCCTCCGGAAACTCATTTCGCCTCTTGCCCTCGGATCGTTGATTTTCGCGTTCACGGACGGCCGGGCTATCTCTTTCGATGGAAATCCATGATGCATCGCGCGTCGCTCACCAAAAATGGGTGAGTACAAAACGAACGGCCCCCGAACGATCGATTCGCCGATTTCGTTATAGCCGGACGATTTCTCGTTGTAGCCACACCGCCACGGTGAAATTCCCGACTGACTGTGAAATCGTATACCTAGTATGTATACTGTATAAAAGCGCGGAGACGGCGAAACTGCGGACAAATTCTGCGCGCAGGAAGTATTTTATTTTGCGGTACGCTTTAAGGTGGTGGTTCGATTCGGAAGTGCGATTGATAGATAAATATATTAGGTTGTCACAAAAGTTACTTTTTTTTTATTAACGCTAGAATAACTGCACCCGTTAGAATGACGGGTTCCTTGTCTTTCCTTCTAATGCTATATAACATTATATTGGTTTGTAAAATTTATACGATTATGTATATTAATTTTGATGAATAAATCTAAACCTATATTTCTACATTTGTTTAAGTAAATATTTATCTATAAATTTAAACTGAACCCCCTAAAATGCTATTTACTTTTGTAAATTTAGTAATTTATTCGATATTAGTATTCATTTCATTTTTCATCACATTCTATAATTTTTTTGGAATTTGTACATTGGCATCTTTTTAAAATTTCTACTAGAATAAATACTACGAGCGGAGTGTGAGAAAAACAACCTAATATCTTATAACGTGATTTTAAATTTTACTGGAAACGAAATATAAGTTTTTTGATAAGCTTTCCGGGTAACTTTTATTAGTATAATAATATATTTCCTGAAGCTATGATGAAATGGAAATGACAATATCTCGAGATGATCTGTTTTACTGGGTCAAAACGTTTTGTGTTTAATAGTGGCAATAACAACTTGCATATCTTCTTTCAGAACTATTCTAACAAGTTAAAAATTTAATATTTCGTATAATAATACAAATTTCCAGCAGAAATATTTAATTAAGTAAAAAATTTACTTGAATCCACCCCTAAAAATCCAATAACTAAAGTTGATGTATTTGTAATTCTTTAAACAAAGTTTATTGCACTTTTCAAATAATTATTCTTATTTTTCCAACTTCTTACACTCTGGAACATTCACTAACTTCTTTTCAGTCAAATAATGTACAAAAGGTAAAAGAAAATACTACGATCTAATATTTTCTCTCTATTTCCTCTCTATTTTACCACATTCCTAGTCCCTTCTGCATTACATAAGTTACAATTTCATTTACTTCATACTTATTTCTATTTACCCTTATATCACATTTAATTCTCCTTCTGTCAGAAGGAAACACATAAAAATACATATAAAATTTCCATTTAGTCAAGTGTGTCAACTGTTACCAACGAAATATCCAAGCGTCAAATATTCTATAAACTAATCTGCATATACGTCTCGTTCAGTTATCGAGAATAGTAAACCTATCATGGTTATTTCCATACCTATTGTAATTTTAAAAATTCATCTATAAAAGGAATGCGATGGTCGTCGAGGAAAAGAACTTGTTATCTCAAGGGTCAGATTGAATCATTCAGGTTCGTTGAGCTATCCGCTGCTTGTCAAACCACTAGTGTGAGCGTGCACGTTCAAGCCCGCACACGTGCATCTACACGAGAGACTGGTAAACCTCATTGTGGGATGGTACCGGTTAATATACTCGTGGACGCAGGACACTGAAGGGTGGATGTTAATAAACTAGGCGGATATCACTGACGTTGTTCCCGTCGTATCACCCATCTTCAGAGTTTCTCAATTAGCTGTTCTGCATCAGAAGAACCTCCCTACTTTTTTGCTAATGGATCACATTTAGGAGGGGAAAAAATCTCGTACCCGTTCACTCTTACCTCTACTTCATTAATCTAAAAAAAATTCTAATTAATTCTCGTGTGTTCGCTAAAGTAATGGAATATCGAGAAAATCGATAAAATAATTACAGAAGCTCTCAATTTAATATATTTATCTCATAATAATAAATTTCTTTTTTGATAATGTATAATCCTTTTAAAATGAAATGAAGCATAATTATAACGTAGAGTGGGAACTTATTATCGTCCGACGTATATTTTAATTGATAATATCTTGCAAAAGAATGCTACAATAATTTTTTGTCCTTGATTGTCGCCTTATATTTTCATGAAGAATTACTATTATTTATTATATATTTTTACAATTATAATACATATTATTTTGTACATTAATGTAATGAGTTAAAAGCTTCTAACACTAATTTCTAGTTATACATTAAAAAATATTAATTAAATATAAGGATCAAAACAATGATACCACAGATGATATTAAAACAGAACAATTGTTCCACAAATTTTAAGTTTTACAATATTACTCCTAAAAGTAAAAATGTGCACAATAGTTTATAAGCGAATTTTGGTCCCTGTATTACTATAAAATATATTGGAATTCATAATCCAACTGTCCTGAAAAATAAAAAATAGTAAGAGAATATTATTCTAATGCAATTAACATTTTTATAAGAAATCAATCGTAAGCTTTACTTTATATAATATGACAATTCTTTATAGAATTAATATATTTTTAATTAGTATTAAATACTAAATAATTTATGAAAATTATTAGCAAAATTTTTAATGAATTCATTTCTCCACTACTTTCACGCAAACAATGGAGGCATTCGAGAAAAAATTCCTCGGTTTTTAACAATATGATGAGAATTCCTTTGTGCTGTGTATTCTGTGGTTTTTCTGCGCGTTCTTACTGACGCGTTCAGTGAAAATATTTATCTTCGAACTGGCAAGTGTCAGAAGTTCGTGGGAAACATTCACCAGTGGTTAAATTCTGGTCAATTACATGCCATCGCTATGAATCATGTGACTTTGGTTCCCTTTTAAATATATCTGTGAATTTAACTGGAACTTTAATTTTGCATCACGTACATACGAGGATTGATGTTTCGATCTCCGAAATATATCACAATAAAATCTAAAAATATTCATCCAAGAAATAAAACACTTTTTTCTATATCATTAAATTTTTTCTGTTTCGATTCTCCACTACTTGTTGAATTCTCTATAATTCTAGGCAAAAATTAATTACTATGTCACTTCGAACAGTTGAATACAACATAACTCTTTTCTTTACGTTTTACATCTGCGCGTGTAAATTCTGTTCTTTTATATAAACATCACTTGCAAAATTTCATAATAACTAAAATATAGAAGACATAAGAAATTATATTAAATCGTTTTTGTTGTATTTTTGCATACCAATAGTTATATAAATAAATATCGATCGTTTGACACAGTAGATAATATTACCTACGTTAATAGATATAGTAAACGTTACTTTATTATACTTTGTTTTATGAAAGAAGAGCCCTTGTAGGTAGGCCGCTTCTAACTTCTGAAAGTTTTTTCGAATTCTGCATAATTATAAATATTACTGAATTCTTTTGGATTCGAATTACTTATTACTCTTCTATTATAAATGTAATGTCTTCTATTAAAAATACTTTAGAGCAAGCATTCACGTAGAACATACCTATAATTTTTCTCAATTTTTCAATAAATTATAGCAAAATAGCAAAATTATTGTATCAGTCGTGGCTGAAAAACAAATTGAAGGGCAAGGGGTTAAATTCGAAAATATAAGTGGATCCCTCGCAACAACCTCCTCCAATAGAGTAGTTCGTATCGAGGATGGAGCTGGAGTGATCGGCTACGAAATTGTACGATCCATGTAAAAATATGCCGAATAATTATTTTTTAGTTTAATTTACTTATTTCGCTTGTTTCTCCATTCATTCCGATTCATTTAGCCATGTATGCAGATGAATCGGGCCATGTGTCACATCAGTCAGTTCTGAAGATTATGATGGGCACACCGTGGGGCAATGGTCGCACCATCGTCCCTGTGGCCGCCTTTGCTGGGTTCCTATTTCTTTGTACATCCGTCCCACGTTCCTCGGGTAAGTTCTGAGGACAGAACATTGGGAAGTTAACGGGAGCCAGGTACTAACACGTGGTCATTCGCTGATCCGTAGGCGAGGACATCGTAACTTGGAACTGTGGTTCTGGCTGGTCTGGTCATGGTTTCCTCCATCTTGTTCTTTTTTAATCAAAGACTTCTCTGATTTCTCTCATTTTCGAATCGAGGACTTCTTTCTTGATTCGCCCCCTTTGCTCTTCGGACGATAATTGCTTGGTATCTACGGCCAATGTATAGTTTAAGTTATCCGTTAAGGCTAAAGTAAATTAGAATTATGTTTGCAAAAGAAGTGCAGTAAGTGTGTTAAAAATAACATTTAGAGTTAGAAACGGAGGTTTTTGGAACGAGGAAAGGAAAATCTTTTTCTTCCGAAAATGAAATCCTGGGAAAAATAAATTCCAAAAAACGATTTGG